CCCATGCCGCATCTGCCCACAATTGTAGATCGGTATAGGGTGGAATTACCAAACCTAATTCTTTCAGCACCATTCTCATCACATCATCACATCGTGCAAATATTCTCAGCGCACATTGGTCGTCATACGGGGTCTTCTGTAAATCTATGTTTAAGGAAAGAAAATTGTGAAAAAGGCGTAAAGGAAAGTTCACTCACTGATGATGACCATCTTCTTCTTTCCAGATTTTAACTTCATAGATGGAAGTTCACATGCAGGTGAAACTCGCATTGACGTTCCAATACATAGACTTAAATCGCATTTTTTTGACTCTTCAGTTGCTCTTTCCAGGCAAACATCAGGCATCGACTGAGAAAATGCAACGGTTGTGCGACGTAGACGCCCATTGCAATTCGGCGCTGTACACAAATTTCCAGTTAGCCTAGTTTTACCGTCAAGTGATTTAACACGTGTTTGTCTATAATAAACTTTCCCACACTTTGCACAAGCTTCACAGTTGGAATTTCCGTGTAGTTCAGCAATTTTGTTTGTTGGTATGCCACTTTTCAGATGAAGACCATCACAGTTTTGAGAAACTAAGAATTTCAGGTAGTCGCTTTTCATGAGTTCGACGAAAGCCATATGTGTCAATGTTGGTTCTGGACTGAGGACAGTCCGTGGTGGTGGAGCAATACCTTTTGCTCGAGCTGTCCAAACACCTGTAGGACCGCGGAAGTCATTAATACCGGCTGCTGTCGATATACCTATGATGTTCATTTTTAATATAGAAATCTTTTGTTTCTGAAAGAATAAACGCCGCCTACCTGCTCCAGTATAGACAATAAAATATTTTGCATTTCGAATAAAATCTGCTAAAATTTTGATTTTCTGATCAAGTTCATCTATGAATATAGTGAAATGGAAAAGACGAATATTAATAAAAAAACGTATGAATATACCTGGTGTATCGAAATATTCCTTAATTTCTTCATCGTCGAGTGCAGTATGCGCCATTATAAAAACAAATTTAAATAAGTATATCTTATAGCTCTGAAAAAGAAAAATGACGTTGATCTATACGATTGGTAAGAAAACTGTTCCAGGATATGCGAAAAGACTTTCATATCTTGTGTGTGATTGCGCGTGCTTGTAACATCATTCGTGTTCAGATGAAGTTCACTGCATATGTAATGAAATAAATCCGGCCACTACAAAGCATCTACGGAAGAAGAAAACGCTTCGAGAATAGAAGACGAACACTCGTGCAGTATCACACAAATACAACTCGACATATTACAAATTGTCGAAAAATGACAGAATGTTCAGAAAACAGGAAAAAAATCCGCTTGCATAGGGTCCTACAAATTCTTTCATCGTAAAAGACAAGAAATTTCAATTCGTTTATCATTTTTTCTTTTATTAACAAGAAGAATATGTAAGCTTTCGACTTGTTTCACACGCTTCTATCAAACACAATGAACAAGAATTAAACTGTAGATAGAGTATGTTACTTTTTGTCTATGATAATGTTTACAAGTAGCATTCGTCTCCAGACTAGCTCAGCTCTTTCTTGTAGAAATCCTGTTTCTGGACACACAGCTAATTCTAACTAATAATTAATTTATAGTTGAATAATAAAAAATTAACCTCGGATTTGGTTCCCCATCCTCGATTACCTTTGAGCAACCTTTTTCAACAAT